CCTTGTTGAGTAAGGGGAAAAACTTCTATTTTTACAGGGTATTTAAAAGCCACACAAACACACTTCATCTTAGGAAATTCTTGGAGAAAGTTCCCAAGAAAGCCAGTGTTAGCAAAATTGTTTGACTCTAATATTTGAGTCTTATTGATAAAAGTATACCAAGTTGTCTGCCCACAAAAGTCACTTGCATTTAATTTTTAATAATGAACACACACACACACACACACAGTAGCCAGTATTCCTTGGATAAAATAATTGTTGTTAGACTTTATTGTAACACTGTACTAAATAGAAGTCTATGGTTAGCCTGAATGATTGTTAACTTTCTCCGTGAATTTTGACTGCAGTTGCTGGTACCTGATAGAATTTTTTTGCCTTCAAGAAGTATCTAATTAACCTTATGAAAATAGGGCAAGTAGATGCTCTACTGCATTCCTTCAGTTGTGTTAAGTGTGTTCTATTTCCTTATCGATTTAGAGCTCTTTTCTGAAAAGAAAAGCTATTTTGTGCCTCCCTCCCTCCCTCCCTCCCTCTCTCTCTGTATATAAATGTGCAATTATACTGGATTCTCTCTTGTTTTAAAAAAAAAAAAAAAACAATCAAAAAAAAAAAAAGCAACAACACTACAAATCCTTTACTTAAGCTCCTAAACTGCCATTTGCCTGATAGAAGCAATTCATTCTGAGGTGACTTATTGGGAATCCAATAATTCTGTTGATTAGATATGATCCCAAAAGAAAGAGGTACGTGTTATCAAATCTAATTGCTACAAGTAACATGAAATGTAGCTCATGAGAACACTAAACTTTGCTCTTGAGCAATTAGATGTTCTTTGAAAAAAATAAGAAAATTTAGGTTTTAACATACTAAAATTTATTTTATATAGATATAAATGTATGTTTTTTTAAACTTACTAACACAAGGATTTCTTTTAATATTCCAAATGCAACTCTTGTTGAAACAATATCCAACATAAAATTGTATCTTCTTGTTTTGTTTTGGACTTAGTGCTATTTAATATCTGATGACTTTTATATGGTAAGCCAGGGTACATCCTATATACTGCAAATACCTTAGATTTAACTATTTTTATGCAGCATCTTCATTGTGTCACATTTTGTTTTTATATCTATAATAGAGCTCTGCAGAGACTTTAACTTTTTTTATGACTAATAGGATTGTTCTATCATTTCAGAAACCAAGGTAGAAAACAAAATAGCTAACTGTAGCTCTAACACCTTTTATGATCTAAAAAGTGGTTTTAGTCATGCCAGTGCCAAGGACCTCTCCTTGCATCTCCATGGTGTTAATGTTGACCTATTTATCTATTTTAAAGTCACATCTTATGGAAGCAGAAAGAAAATTGTGTTTTATGTGTGCATAAGTATACATGTACTGTGCTTGCCTGGGCTATGCCAGTGAATATTCCAAAAGACATACGGCTTATTTACAGTCTGAAGTTAGTAGCTATTAACTTTTAAATCTTTATGTGGTCAGAGAATAAGTGGATGGTTTTTATTCTTGTCCAAAAATGAAATAACTTACATTATGGGATAATAGTGGTGATTCTTTTTTTAACCTCATGTTAATTCTTTGGAGGAAGAAGTGAACATAACACTTTTGATCATCAGCATAAAGCTTCAGGAATTGGATCAGTAAGAGCTAAAGATGAAATTGTGGGAAACCTTCACACGCACTGCAGTGGAGGCAGGGACAGGACCACAATGACTATGAGGAATCAGAAGAGCTGCATGAGGCTGGCAGAGAAGGAGGGGGAAGATGGCCCTTTATTCCTGTCATGCTGAAGCAGCTGGAACCAGTGATTCACTTCTTTATTGTCAAATCAGTACTGGAGATCAGAGTGAAGTGGGGTTTATTTTCATTTTTGTTTTAATAAGTTTCTGCTTTTTTAATTCTCAAAAAATGATCTGGTTTAAGCTAAAGAATAAATAGGCTTGAGTTTTAGGATCATGGAAGCTTAGAGATTTCTGTGTGTTCAAGTCAGGAACATATCTGAAAACTAAAAAGATAATTGGAGGTGGGTGGGGGATTGCTTTCACACAGAATTTGGCAACATGCCTGTAAATAATGTGGAACTGAGATATTGAATAGCTAATCGTGTAAAGTACTCTTAGGTGGGACAGGCTGTTGGGCAACTTTCCCAATTCATGAAACAGTTTCTTTTTTTGAGTAGTTTCTTGCATGATATGTTCCTAACAGGGTCAAACCAGACCTGCAGTTTGGAATCAGAGATGCCATCTATTCAGAATGTAATTTCTGGACTGTCCAGACCTGTTGTGTGTCTTTCATTTTATTTTTAAATACAAAGGTCATCTTTTAGCATTCACCATAAAGTCAAGGTGCTACCTGCCACAGTCACATCCAAACAGGATAAGAAAACAAATTTCTTTGGAGTCCTTACAACTTGGAAAGCTTGTTTGTGATGTCATTTTACATGAGGTACAATGGCATTGGAAAGTTGCTTTATTGCTGGGCAGTACAGAGTAAACTTGAATTACTTTTTACAAGGCTGATATAACTAGCCTCCTTCCTCCCACTTGTCCAAGTTGCTGCAGTGATCAAATGGAACAATTTCCTTCAGCCTAGGGCCATATAAACTTGTCTCTAGTTATTTGAAAACAAAAAGTTTGTTTTTTTGTTCCATTTTCATATGGATTAACCAACAGATATAAGTAGACAGCTTTGCAAGGAATTAACAAATATTGAAAAGTTGGGAATTTGTATATACCAAAATCTTACCAACTTTTGTCTGGGGTGGGGTACTGGGGAAAAAAAGAGGTTATGTTAGGGTAAGGGAGGGGAATGATAATGTTTACCACAGGTACGATGTAGTCACTTTAACATTGAGACCTCTACTTCATTGAATTCAGGTTTTTTAAGTACTTGAAACTCTTAAGATTCTCCTTATTTTAATTTTCTTTTTTTAAATTTATGGAGTAGAAAACTTTTCATTTTGTATACTGTTTTGGAAACAAATAGCCTAGTCTCTTTCCTCTTTATCTTGGATTAAAGACAAAATTCTGCAAATAGGAGTGTGTCCACAGGAGATAGCTCAGATTTATTGTGCACCTTTAAGGAAGAGACTTCTTCCTGCACGGGATACTAGTCACATTTTTTACAAATATTTCCTATGTATGTTCTTTTTGTTAACCCTATCCCCAGACACTTATTTTCTTTTACTATATGCCTATGGGGGCAGGAGGGATGCACTTATGTTACACTCCTAAAATGCTATGTGTAACCCTTGTATTTCAAAAACCATTTCTGTTTTTTTGTGGGGTTTTTGTCAGTCCATAGCAATTATACTGGACTCCAAAAGTCATTAACATGTAAGCATAAAGGGAAAACAGAATAGCTGCCAAAGTCATTATTCAGTACTTAGTTTTTCTAAGTGACATGACTGCATCTGCCACTGAATGAGAAAGCACCCTTAGCTTCCACTGCTCCCCTTCCCTACTGGCCAAAAGACTCTTGATGTGTGCAAATGGCTCTCAAGTACCCATCAGATTGCCTGTATAAGGTATTTACAAGGTATTCTTGTCAGTTTAGAAGTGTACTAGATAAAATTTTTGACTTTGTTGTCATTGACATTATCCCATTTGTTCTGTCTACATATCCTGTGTTAAGGACCACGTTGCCACTAAATAACCAAGATGCTAAATGATTACAACTGGCTAATTAGATCATTTTTTATATACAAGGATGTGTGCATATTTGGAATTGATATGAGAAATTCATTTGTACCCATTTGAGTGATATTGCACAACAGATACCTACAGATTCCGTTTTCGTTTTCTCATGTTCTTTATGATAATGACCTTTGTAGATTATTTCTGTACTTTGTTTATCTGTAATAAACTTTGTAGATCCTGTGAAATGTTATTTTACCTAATCACTTGAGACTTGAGTCTTTGATAACAAAATATCAATATTCACTAAAAGTCAATCTCTTCTGAGTTTCTGAGACTCTGCTGGAAGCTCTTGACACTAGGGATTAGTATTAACTTTCCCTGGGGGTGTTCCACTAGGGCATTACTATATAATGACTTGATGTTGCCACATGGACTTCAAGATATATAATATTTTGAGGATTTTGTTGATTGGCCTATGTTTAATTGCAAAGTGTGAAATGTGCAAAGCTTGGTTAACCTGTATATAGTTCATTGTTAACTAGTGTACTTAGAAATGCCTGTAATATTTAAGCTTCTTACTCATGTGTATGCTGGTAGGAACATATAATTTTTGTACATTATATTTACTGAAATGTTGCCTTTTTATTTTACAAAATACTTTGGAATTCAAATGTGTTTTCTGCTTCTGTGAGGATTCATTTAGGAAGGTTTTTAATGACATTCCACTGATTTCAGATTTTGCTTGAGATTGACTTCAATAAATTGTCTTGTATGTTCCAAATTAAATATGTGGGCTTGTTCTTTGTCTATAATTTTTTGCTACAACTCATTGGACAGGAGGCCAGCATTGTGTGATTTTGTGTGTTGGGGGAAGGAAGGCTTAAAAACACAAAACATCCAACCTCATGCAGCTTTTCTTCCTTCAAAATGCTGCAGTACTGCTAAGAAACTGGATCTTAAAAAGTGAGTTTTGTTTTTCATAGAGGAAATATTCTTAGAGAACGTTGCTTCTTGCTTTGGTGTGGTAAAAGACCATCTACGCACCACCTGGTTGGTGAAAGTCCCCAAGGGAGATGCTAATCAATCTTCATCCCACTGGTATGAGACCCAAAGGTGACCTGCAGCTTGGCTGGGCACTAGTGGAACCAGCACCCTGCGGAGCTGGCTTTCGTTGCTGTGCTAGGTGACGCCCTGAAAGGGGCCCCTCCTGCTTCCTAGAAGCCAGATCTTCCTGATAGCAGATCTGGCTGGGGAAAGGAGGCTGACTGCCATGGCTTCCTGCCATTCCCGCGGCGCCCACCAGCCGGCGCTTAAAGCCAGGCGGGTTGCAGGCAGCCTCTTCCCTGGCGCAGCGTCTCCACGCAGCAGCCGCCACGTCAGCGCGGCGAACGCCCGGGCGCGCTGGCCGGATGGGGAAGGCAGCCGCTGCCTTTGGGGCCGAAGTGGGTGTGCGAGTCTTGCTGTTCGCAGCCTTCCTGTAAGGAATTGCGGGTCGGATCCCAGAGCGTGGCACCTGTTAACAGGCAGTGGGAGACACTACTGCCTTGGAGGTGGCAGCCTGCCTCATCCGCCAGCCAGGCAGCTGGGTCCTCCGGGAGAAAGCAGCATGCCAAGAAGCTTCTATGCTTTTGTTTCCTCCTCAGGGTGACTGAACTTCTCCCTCCCTTCCAGAGGCATATCCAGCCAGAGGAGATGTGGCTTTACCGGAATCCATATGTGGAAGCGGAGTATTTCCCTACCAAGCCGATGTTTGTGAGTGAAGAACTATCCTTTGCCTATCACAATACTGTTTGATGCTAGGATGCAAAAAGTGGGTCATTCTGGCCCCCAGATTATCTTTGTGGAGAACATATTGTTCCCTTGGTTGATGTGCTCAAGAATTTCCTTCCTGATGTTTAAGGTCGAGATTTAGAGAGCAAGATGTAAGTCTTTTGGATGCAAATGGATTCTCTGTGAAAGTAACTGGTCCTTTAGAATAGTGGGTGTTATTTACTGGTGGAACTGCCAGCTCCCACCTACCCCACCCCCCAGAAACAAAGGACCCTAAAAGACCTCTGCTTACATATAGGAATTATTTCTGCTCTGGAAGTTCTGCTGTAATGTCCATCCCTCTACCTGTAGGAGTGACTTTAACAACTAATGTGGGGTTTTGCTGTTTTGCTTTTGACACATTCTGATTCAGGTCATTGCATTCCTCTCTCCACTGTCTGTGATCTTCCTGGCCAAATTTTTCAAGAAGGCAAATACAGCAGACAGCAAACAAGCCTGCCTGGGTAAGAGCTAGCCCTTTCTGATGATGATGATGTATTCTTAGAGCTAGGAATGAGATGCTTCCCAGTGGTAGAGTTCAGGCACTAGAACCCTATGCAGAAACCAGAGTTCCACATTGCTAAAGCAATTATATCAACCTGTATGCCGTGCAACCCCCTGAGACAGAACTTACAGGTGTGCTTTATATACTGGCTTATTTGTACCTCAGGAATGTCTCTGGCTAGGTACAGAAGCTTTCCCTTTACTACAAAGGATGGTCCTTGAGCACCATAGTTATTTTTGTGCTCAGGTCTTGTTGGACTATCTCAAAAAGTGCATGAGCTGCTGCTGTCTTCATGAGGCAGTAGATACGCCATTCCTCCCACGTAGATACCACTAACAATTTCTTTTATTTCTAGCTGCCAGCCTTGCTCTAGCTCTGACTGGTGTCTTTACCAATACAATAAAACTGATAGTGGGAAGGTAAGTGATAAGACTTAGCACCCCAGTGCCTGCCCCAGTCCTCACCCCATCAGGAAAGACCAGGGATAGCAATCCATCACACATCTTTATCATCCTTTTCTCATTTATCATCAGTCTAATCTTTCTCATTCAGCACTTCCTCCTACCTCAGTCCTGCTGATTACGACAAGTGGACTCTTTTTTGGCTTAACAGCATTTCCCACTAACAATCAGCACAGTCCTTGGCCTTAGTGCATCTCTAAAGTCGAAGTGTGATTTGTTTGCCCTAAAATGTAATTGCATGCTAAAGTCACTTTTTTTTCCCCTCATTTAAATTTCAGCCATGGAACTAGGTTTTTCTTATGTGGTAATTATCCTACTCTAGTTATATTGCCTGGAACATTATATACCAACAATTAAAAGGCATATTGATGGGCTGGGGATGTGGCTCAAGTGGTAGCGCGCTGGCCTGGCATGCGTGCTGGCCTGGCATGCGTGCGGCCCGGGTTCGATCCTCAGCACCACATACAAACGAAGATGTTGTGTCCGCCGAAAACTAAAAAAAAATAAATATTAAAAAAATTCTCTCTCTCCCTCTCTCTTTAAAAAAAAAACAAAAAAAAAGGAATATTGATGTCTGATACAACTGAAAAATACTTTCTAGAAGTTTAAATGTTTAAATCATGCTTATTTCTTCCAGGCCACGCCCAGATTTCTTTTACCGCTGCTTCCCAGATGGACTAGCCCATTCTGACTTGATGTGTACAGGGGATAAAGATGTGGTGAATGAGGGTCGCAAAAGCTTCCCTAGTGGACATTCTTCCTGTATGAATTTCATATGGATTCAACTTGAATGCTTATTAATGTGTTTAACCTAGGAAGCTTGTAGGGATGAGAACATCCAACTACAGTTGTTCTTACACCTACAGATTGGAATTCCCTTCTTCTTTAATAACCCTGTGATTTTACAAGCCTGAACCTTGTATGTCAGTAAATATTAGAGTACAGAGAGGTAGTTTATATCCATGAGATTTGCACATTTTATTATTACTGTATTAATTGCCTACATCCTGTAATCTTGTACTTGTCCCCCAAAATAACTAATCTTTACTAAAGAGTTACTATGTGTCATGTGCTCTGCAGCATTTAAAATTTGTACCTCATTTATAGCTCACAATATCCCACTAAAGTGGGTACTATTATTTTTAAGATTCCCATTTATAGATGAGGAAACAAAAGTATAAAGAGGTTAAATAACCTGCCTAAAATCATAGAGCTATTCTAACCTATCCTCAGGTAAAAAATATTAACTTAGGAACAAAATAAAGTCCTTTATTTTCCCTTTTCTTTCCTCACAATCAGTGATCTACACCAGAAATATGCAAAAAGTTATGAAATATATTTGTACTCCCTAGTGTATTTGGAATTGAGTGTTGGGGGTGTATAGCTCAGTGGTAGAATGCTTGCTTAGCTTGTGTGAAGCTCTGGGTTCAATCTCTAGCACCATCAAAAAACATACAAAAATACTTATAGGTTTTTGTCTGTCCTAGTTGCATTTGCTGGTCTGGCCTTTGCTTCCTTCTACCTGGCAGGGAAGTTACACTGCTTCACACCACAAGGCCGTGGGAAATCTTGGAGGTTCTGTGCCTTTCTGTCACCTCTACTTTTTGCAGCTGTAATTGCACTGTCCCGCACCTGTGACTACAAACATCACTGGCAAGGTAAGCAAGTATTCATGCCATGGAAGCTTCCATGTTTTATTCATTTTTATCCCTAACAACTGACATTAAGGATACTTGCTTTCTCACTAAATGCTTTCTCACTAAATATGTTGCATGAATGAACATGAACAAGTGTGGGTGGTCTAGGTTCTGTATTAAGAGTATACATTTATAAGATATATGGAAGTCAAAAGTTAACCTTTTAAAGAGAGATTACCAAAACAGAATGTACTAATTTTTCCATTATTTGAAGCACTGTTAAGTTCCAGTTAAATTGCATCTATAAGAAAGTTTTAAAGCTAGGCATGGTGGTATACATCATCTGCAGTCCCAGCTACTCAGGAGGCTAAAGCAGAAGGATCATTTGAGCCCAGAAGTTGCCAGATTAGACAATATAGCAAAGGCCCATCTCAAAAGAAAAAAATATATGTATATATTTTTAGTTGTCAATGGACCTTTATTTTATTTATTTATATATGGTGCTGAGAATTGAGCCCAGTGTCTCACACATGCTAGGCAAGCATCTACACTAAACTAAAACCCCAGCCCTTGCCACATTTTTTAAACAAACCTAGAAGCTCAATCTATTTCTTTTGAAAATCAAGCTTATTGTCTATAATTTGTTCAGAAACAAAAACTTTGGTATTTTATCATTTCTCAAAGAAATTTAGGATGAGTGCTAGTAACATTCCAAATGACAGCATATCTTTAAAGAAAAGCCACAATTCCAAAAGAAATTCAATAGTATTGCTCGCTCCTCGGGAGCCATATTTTAAAGAATGAGCAAAGAGAGGCAACTCCTAAAGAGTTTATTCCTTCCTCTAGGACTACTGAAATGGTACAGGTCAACGAATAGCAAGCAATTCATAAATCTTTGTCACTCTTGTGAATTAAAAAAATTCTAATTTAGTCCCCTCTGCACAAAGTAATGGTGTGTTCTGATGTGTTTAAAGAACAATCTGACTATGCTAATCCTATAACTATATGACAAAATTAAGAAAGTCTAAAGAAACCACAACTATGAAGGGGGGAACTTACGAGTAAGAGTGATAAAAGAGGGGGGGCGGGGACTTACAAGTAAGAATAACCTGGAAGGCCAAGTCTCCTATTCTGTTCAGTGTCTAATGGGATCTAAAATTCTAATATGATTAATAAAGGTATTGGGGCTGGGGATGTGGCTCAAGCGGTAGCATGCATGCGGCCCAGGTTCAATCCTCAGCACCACATACAAACAAAGATGTTGTGTCCGCTGAAAACTAAAAAAAAATAAATATTAAAATTAAAAAAATAATAAAAAATAAAAAAATAAAGGTATTGTGTCCAACTACAATTAAAAAAAATGTTTAAAAAAATACCTTATATTTCCTCTCTCTTCAGATGTACTAGTTGGATCCATGATTGGAATGACATTTGCCTATGCCTGCTACAGACAGTATTATCCTCCTCTGACTGACGAAGAATGCCATAAACCATTTCCTGACAGACATGCACTTTCTGCTCTTCAGAAGAAGCCTGGTGATTCTTACTGTTTGGATATTTAAGTCAAATCTAAATTCAGTGGAGAATAGGCAAATCAACCTTAGAACCAAGCACATAACAAGAATTCTGGCCTTTTTATCTCTTCCAAGGTACAAGTGATGGCATAAGCCACACTGTATTCAGCCTCCATGTGATTATGAACTTTTGCCCTACTTGACATGATCTACCATGAGGAATCAAAGTTCTTTTCCACCACTGTATGCCACCCATTCAATAAAGAGATCTTTCAATAGTTCTCCAATGGCTTATGCATACGATCCATTAGGTTGATAATCTTAAGATTTAGTGTTTTAATATTTAATTTAAATGCTACTTTTTAAAGGGTCTTTTCTCAAAGACTTTTACACAGCCCTACTCTTATCCTAGAAGCTAGTTAATTATCAGATTTGTGAGCTGGACCCAGTGACACATGCCTATAATCCCAGCAGCTCAGGAGGCTACAGCAGGATGATCAAAGCCAGCCTCAGCAACTGAGCAAATCCCTAAGCAACTCAGCAAGACTCTGTTTCTAAATAAAATATTTAAAAGGGGCTGGGGATGTGGCTTAGTGGTTAAGTGCCCCTGGGTTCATTCCCTGGTATCAAAAAAAAAAATAAATTTTTTTTTTTGTTTCTCATAAATCAAAATGTTAAGATCAAAGGCATGACCAAATTATCTTGATTCTATATACTTTCTCTAGTGACAATTCCATTAAACCTTAAATAGGAAAATGTCCAATCTTAGCTAATTTACCACTCCTGTGTACATCTATCCAAGTCCAGGCATCTGGTGTTGCTGTCCATTTTGAACACTGTGGGCATAAACAATCTGTTGAATTACTAAGAGAACAGAGCAAAAAAGAAGAAAATGGTCAGGAATGTAGTTTCAGTACTAACAACAGATGATTTTTTTCTACCTCATTTCTCTTTGTGCTAATGAGCTTCTTGCCCAAATTCATATCTGCCAACTAAGATAGAAAAGAAGTTACAGAAATTATTTGGAGGACAAATGAATCATTTTCTATCTTTTCTTCAAAAGAAGATACAAGAAACAATTACAGGACATCATCAGAAATGATGATCTAGTTCCTACAGCTAGCTGTTGTTTTCTTTATTGTAATTATATTTTAAACGATTTTTACTTATGTATATCTTTTTATAACACATTTTCAATGCACTTCTTCCTTTACTAAACCTGATATTCAAATAAAATGATGAATGTGTGTTTTGTTGTTGTTTGTGTGGTACCACCCAGGAACCGGAACGTATTGTAAACATTGGATTCCCCATCTGACATAAGTGATTTATCAACTATTATGTGTAGTACTAGCTGACATTTATGCATATCAAAAAATCATTTCTGGGGCTGGGGATGTGGCTCAAGTGGTAGCGTGCTCGCCTGGCATGCGTGCAGCCCCGGGTTCGATCCTCAGCACCACATACAAACAAAGATGTTGTGTCTGCCGATAACTAAAAATAAATAAATATTAAAATTCTCTCTCTCTCAAAAAAAAAAAAAAAAATCATTTCTGTATTTACCTTATAATTGCCACCTTTAAATTCTGAACTATATCTGCCTATGACAATGAAAACACTGGTCAAGGAGAAAGAACTTAAATAAATATCAGTTCTTTGCCCCAAATGTTTATTTTTTAAACTTATTTTAGTAATACATATGGGAAGAGGAAATAGTTAATGTATTGATTTTCTCTGTGATAGATGAAGCCATGTAAAAGTAGGCAACTGGTCAACACAGTTTTATTTCAGTACTTAAAGTTTTAATCACATAAAAAACCAAACATTTCAAAAGTGCAAAATATTAGAAAGCTAATACTGCTGTTGTTTCCATGCAAATAATCTCTTTAACTGAGAAGCAATACTAATTTTGCAGCTAGAAATATGTACAAAATGATGTTTTACTAGAGTTTAAAAGTAGGCTTGGTGAAGAGATTGTACATGATACAAATGAAGCAGTGCAAATAATGTAAGACTAAAGTATTTCAATCAAGCTTATTACCTTGTGTAATTCAGCCATAATACCATAGGTGGATGGATGAGATATAAAGGTCTTTTATAGTTACCTACAGCTTGCCACCCCAAAAAAAGCATTTCTTAATATAGTGGTTTATCTAGCGCTCCAGGATTGTGCCGTCCATCTTTGGTTACAGCGACTCTCACTTGGTTGTCTTTTGGTTTACTCTTTAAAAAAAAGAGTACCTATTCTGCTAATGTGAGGAGTAAACATTTGCAGATAGTAACTTAATAAAAGCCTACCTTTTAATATATAGTGAATGCTAGTTAAAACTCAATAACTCTTACTCAATTTATGTGATAAAGAAAATAAAAGTAGTCCATGTATCTGAAACTTCTTTGTAGCTTATTCAGTATTATAGTCCATAAGCCGATGATGCTGACCAGGTTTGACTTCTACCCCACCTTTGCCTCTATACCTCCAAAATGACAGTATTAACCTTTTTCCTTTTCTGTTCAGAAAAGGATAAAAACCACTACTGTCTTAGGGATGGTATTAGGGAATATTTAATACTAGTGCTTTGGATGTCATGATATATTTACAAAAAAAAAAATTATAAAAAACAAAACATGGCTTGCCTTCCTCTGCCACTCAATAAATAAGGGCCTGTGAAAACCTGAGAGGAAACATAAAGGACTATCAAAAAGAAATGAAAATGGCAAATGCTGACTAATGGGGAAGAAAATACCTTAAAAAAATGCAGTGAGTAGATGCTTACAAAAATATTAGTCTATAGTCACACCTGTGTTCTTCAAGATAAATCTCACTTTGCATGTTCCAGACTCAACTTAGAGTGACTGCAGTGGCTGCTCCTCAAACCTATGTGCTCAGCTAACACTGTCTATGCCAAGAGTCTTATTTTTAAAATATTTTTTAAGTTTTGGTACCAGGGAGAGAAACCAGAGGCTCTTAACCACTGAGCTACATCCCCAATCCTTTTACTTTTTTATCTTAAGTCAGGATCTTGCTAAATTGCTTAGGGCCTCAATAAAGTTGCTAAGGCTGGCCTCAAACTTGCAATCCAGCTGCTTTGGCCTCCTAAGTCACTGAAATTATAGGTGTGTGCCACCACCCCCAACCAAGAGCCTTTTAAATAAGTATTCTGGGTTAGGATACTTAAGAATGCAGTGATGTTTACAAAATGTTTTTTAAAAGGACATCACAGTATCACTTTCAACCAAGTAGAAGTGGCAGATGACTTTAAATTCTGTTTCACCACGAAGGCACCACTAAAGATACTATTTATAACCTGAGCAGCCTGAAAATGCTATGTAATTTCAGGTTTGTCAGCTTTCATAACTTTACCCTCAATATAAGAATAGAAAAAAATATATGTATATAAGAATAGAAGCTGTCATTGTCAAATAACTAAATCAAACCTCATCTAGATTTCCTCAGTTTAAAGTATAGTACAAAAGAGCAAGTCTACAATATATATAACATCTTTGTTTTATAAAGATATACCTAGGGCTGGAGATGTATCTCAGTGGTAGATCTTTTGTCTAGCATGTGCAAGGCCCCAGGTTCAATCCCCAGTATCACAGAAATTAAAATAAAAAAATAAATATGTACCTAGTGTGAACTCAGTTGTCCACTTTAGACTTATAGCAGCTCAACTGGGTTATAAAAACAACACACAGCATTATAGATTCCTAGCAATAAGTTCATCTATTCAGTTGTTAAGAGAGTAAACAATACTCTTATTAAACAACATTCCAATCTTCCTTCATACAGTTCACACAGGAAGGAAATGCTGGTGGGAAAAAAAAAAAAATTACCCATCACCATATCCACTTAGAATTAGAATTAGACTTCAGGTGCCGAGAACACCAAGAGATGTAGAATCTCCAAAATGCCCTCTATATCTCAAGAATCTGCTTCTACACTGGAACATTTTCTAAAGACAGCAATAATTCCCCAGAAAAATATCTAGCAAACCCCACACAGACCATAGACCATCTCGTAATAAGGAATCAAGTGTGGCACCTATAAGCTATCATCAAAGAAGTAACTGATGCAAACAACCTCCAGCCATAAAGAAAGAATGGCAAGTATTTATATGTAGCCCACATAAAAAGTAACAGGGTCTTCCCTTTGCTTTTCCACTCACTTCCAAAAAGGAAGATTATCTTCCAAAGACCCCAGTGGTAAGTGGCAGGCAACATGCAGGAAATGATGCAGCTGAGAAGAAAATTGCAGCAACAAACAGGTGGGTTTTCTAGGGAAGGATCCCTCAATGTCCGTCTAGGGGAGAGAGTGGGAGAAGAGGTCATCATGCAGTCACAACCGGAAGGCAACCATAGAGGATGCCAAAGTACAATGTACAGGCTTTCTAGTTTCACAACTAAAACATTACTTTAAATTTCACGATGGGCTATCTGTAATTAAAATGATAACTGTTGCCATGTTGATACTTAGATGATCAGAACTAGTAAGATTCTAAGTTTAAGTAATAAAAGACAGCAGATCTCACTGGTCAAAATCTCAAGCAAAATAGATACACATTAATCCTCTTCTAAGTGGACTACTGTGCATTTTCTCCATGAATTTTACCTGGAGTTCCTCTAAACATGAAAATTAGCCTAGATCTTAGGGACAGGCAACAGAAAGGTATATTTATAAAGACCTTGAGGCTCCACATTTCCTTATAAAATGTTAATATGTAAGCATTATGCTGTATACATGACATTCAAAAACTTACATTAAGCAGTCAGATAGGTCATTTTTACTGTAAGGGCTGATCAAGGAAGATACCCTGGGTTTGGTAGATCTCTTTAAGGACCAGCAATACTGTATCTTCAGATTCCCTGTAAACAGAAAAAAATCTATACTGAGAAAAGATAGAATTAACATTTTGTGCTACACTGCCTTACATATATTATTTCATTTAATCCACATAACCATCTTTTTTTCTTATTTTTTTTTAGTTGTTGATAGACATTTATTTATATGCTGTGCTGAGAATTGAATGCAGTGCCTCACACATACTAGGCAAGCACTCTACCACTGAGCCACAACCCAGCTTCCCCACATAAACATCTTTCAAGTTCATTTTTTACTATTGCAAAAAAACAATGAGACTCAGAAGTGGCAATGGTTTGGAAGATGGTCTAGTATCGTGTTTAGAAATACAAAAAGCTAAGGTATAACTCAGTCAAAAAGCACTTGCCTAGCAGGCACAAAGCTCAGGGCTTAAGCCCCAGACTGCAGAACACACACAAAGCTATTAAATGACCAAGAACTATACCTTTCCACAAAGTTCACTCTTGAGACCATACTGAAGAGCCATCCAGTTTATCACCTTCACTTTATTACTTTTTTTAATTTTGGGGGTAGTAGGGATTGAGCCCAGGGGTGCTGTATCCCTGAGCTATACCCTCCAGTCCCTTTTATTTTTTGATTTTATGGCAGTGTCTTGCTAAGGCAGCCTCCTGAGTCATTGGAGGTATGTCCCACAGTGCCTGGCTTGTCACCCTTACTTTAAAAAAAAAAAAATTAGAGCAGTATTTTTTATTGGTGCATTATAGTCATTCATAATAGTGGGGTTTATTAGCAAATACCCAATTTTAAAACTTTACTCACTTTTTTGAAAATACAATACAATCATATGGTTCAATCATATGCAGGACAGGCAGGTACTGGGGGGAGGCTGCTGGGAGGCAGGCAAAGTAGCAGTCTGAAGCTCTCTTGTTCACAGTGGTTTTGGGAAAAGAGCTCCAGCTGGGGGTGTGTATAGCTCAGAGAGCAGCCAAGGGCTGGGAAGAGCCAACCAGCTCTCCATGGCCAACATAGGCAAGTGACAAGAAGCTGGAATCAAGGCAATTGGCTTAGGTACTGGGAAGCAAGAAAGTGGTTAATCTGAAGCAAGAAGAGTCTTCTGCTTCACCCTGGGTGAGTATGTGGCCTTTGATACATGGGAGCAGCACCTGGAGAAGATACCTGAGAGGAAGCTGTGTTCCAAGGATGACTGAGGAGAGGGGAAGATAGGAAAAGTGGAGGCTCTAAAGAACCCAAGAACCTGTGGAGGTGAGCACCTCGCAGGACATGGATCTGGACCAGTCAAGCGCTGCCATTATTAATTGTTATTTTGACTGTGTATGAATATGTGGTGTTTCCTGGGAAGAAATTCATTATATTCTCAAAGGAATACATAACTCAAAAAATGAAACACAAATACATAAGAATGTTTGA